AACCGCTGTAATTGGCAATTTCACACACCAGTCTTCTTAAAGACTCGGGAATTATTTGTAAATATAATCTTGAAACACCGAGTTTAAACTACCCTTTGTTGGACCTTGAAGATAACATACTCAAGCCACAAAAATGTCCATTAGCAGAATGTACCTTACACGGCCAGGTTTGCATACATCCTTCTCCATTTGATAAACACAATTTAAAATTTATTACACCAAAAAACATTCTGCATAGCAGCATAGTTGATAGAGTACTCTATTAACTATGATAGCAGTAAGGTACGTACCCCACATACATTCATGGAGAGTAGTTACAACAAATGTTATTTTAGTACAACTCTTGTTACTGAAGGAAAGATGAGTTAACATTGTATAATATTCATTTCTCACTAGAGGTGTTTTACCCTGCTGTAGCCACAGTGGGGTACTAACACAACACAACAAAGAAGATTCCAAAGAAACAACTGAGTTAGGGAGACTAATTTCTAAGATTACCACACCAAGAAATTATTTTTTTGTTTACAGGTAACATTTTTTGCCTAGTTTATATTTACGGTGAACACTGGAGCACAGACTGTACAAGCAGCACCTTTTCCCCCAAGTTTTGTGCCAAATCAGGGGTGCGGCATATCTGTGAGAAAATCTTGAAAATTTACCACAACTTTGCATAAATTAACAGTTTGCAAAATAATTTTTAAGTCTGTTTTGCAAACTAACGAGAACTTCACAACAATATTCAAGAATAAAAATTGATCAAATGTTGCTCTTACAGGTTTAGAGGCAGCAAGTGTAAAGTAGATTTTCTCAGCAACCAATAGAAATATTGAAAAAGCCTTACACACTTAGGCAGTCCATCAACTGCTGATTATTTGATTATTGAACCTTGTGAGTTTTGCAGTTAAGGAATTTTGTGTGCTTGCCTTTAAAGCAATTCTTTGTAATGATTCCTTCTTTGGATTCTATACCATTATAGCTTTACAGCGATGTGTACTTTTCAAGGGTTTTATTTAGAGCAACATGCATATGAACAATTTTTTGAAAGCACCTTGAAGGTCTACAATATTCTTTAAGTTCAAGTAGAAGTCTTAAACCTGTTTTTGATAAGCAGATTGTTCCAAAAGTTGGCAAAGACACCTAGAACTGATGATGGTATTATACACTGAGTTTTGATCAAGGATATACAACCTGTACCAATACTTTCAACAGTTTATTGTCTTTTTAGTACAGATTTTAGTTAATATGAGGATTTTTAGATGTGTACCACCCTCTTATTAGCTTTGCCTCTGAGTAAGCTTTGCACGAAAGTCACCAAAAATTTACTGAATGCCATGGTGCTTTATTGAACGTATTTGGTATAGATGAAAAATTCTTTTTACCCTTACGGTTCTTCTTGGGTGTGAAATAGGACTGAGCAACTGAGGAAGTTTCAAGTGGTTACAGAATGCTTTTTGATTGCAAATTATTTTTGATTGTTGTGTGATTGGCTCAAGAGTTAATCCTTCAATAACAATGAGATTTTTCTAAGAGCTGAGATTGGTTCTTTCTGTGAAATTTTGATCTAACCAGTGGTGTGAATAGATCATCAGGTATTTTTTTAAGCTACCAACTGAATTAGACCTTCATATATTAAAGCACACTTGCTCAACGAGCAGAGCGTTCTAAACCACTGAGAGACCTCCTGAGTTCCAAAAACCACTAGTCTTGGGGTGATGCGCAACAACAAGCTTTCTCTGCGCTGAAACGGAGCGTTGCATCTACCCCTATCCTAGCTCATTACGATGCAAACCGATCAACAACACTTTCCAGTGACGCATCCTCCTATGGCCTGGGAGCTGTATTGTTGCAGAAACAAGATAATGACCAATGGCGCCCTGTGGCTTATGCCTCACGAGCTATGAGCCCCACAGAACAACGTTATGCGCAAATTGAAAAGGAAGCTTTGGGCATAACTTGGGCAAGTGAACGCTTTGCGCAATACCTGATTGTACTCAAGTTCCACATTGAAACAGATCACAAGCCCTTGGTACCATTACTCGGTTGCAAGAACCTCGAGGATGTTCCCGCTCGAATACAACGATTTAAAATGAGAATGATGTGCTTCGCGTATACTATCAGTCATGTTCTGGGTAAAAGGCAGCATGGTCGAGTGGTCAGCGTGTCGGACTCGCAATCCGTCGCTCCCGGGTTCAAGTCCCGCCCTGGCCACTACTTGGATTTGTTTCACGGTAGCCCCGAGTTTCAAATCCTCGGCCATGCTTGTAATATAGCCAACTGGTTTGCCTTCGGCCAGGCTGGATTCTTAACAACGTTATTTTCAATTTGAATTATTTGTTTAAGTTGTTTCGTGGAAAACCTGTAAACTAGCTTCTAGCTAGGCGTTTCTCCACGTTAAACTGTTTATTTTATTTTTATTTTTTTTTAAACCTCTGCACCGCAGACACTCTGTGAAGAGCGCCCATTGTTAGACCATTGAACGAAGAAGAAGAAGAAAAGTTGACTGATGATGTCAAAGCCTGTGTTGGCTCAGTTATAAGGCACCTACCTGCTACTGAAGATCGACTTGAAGAGCAGAGGTCCCAGCAACAACAAAATTAAGTTACTAAGAGACTCATCGTCTATTGTTCTGAGGGCTGGCCAGAGAAGTCCCATCTTCCAATCCCACTTAAAGCCTACTGGAAAGAGAGAGGTCACCTGACAGTGCAGCAAGGCTTGTTAATAAAAGGAAAGCGACTGGCGATTCCTGTGTCTATGCGACTTGATGTCCTAGATAAACTACCTGAGGGTCATCAAGGCATTACTAAATTCCGAGAAAGAGCTAAAACATCAGTTTGGAGGCCAGGCCTGAGCAAACAACTTGAGGAACTGGTCAACAACTGTCCTACGTGCATCAAAGAGCGTACAAATTGACCCGAACCAGTCATCCCATCGGAACTACCCGATCGCCCTTGGCAGAAGCTGGCCACAGACGACCAGCCCGCGATATCCCCAAGCGAATGGCGAAGCAGAACGCGCAGTCCAAAGCGTGAAACACCTACTTAAGAAAGCTCAAGATCCTTGCAGAGCTCTCTTGGCATACCGCTCCACACCCCTTGAGAGTGGACTCAGCCCAGCAGAATTGTTAATGGGAAGAAAAATCCGTACTCAAGTTCCTACCGCTCCTGCGCAGTTAATCCCTAGTTGACATTACTTGGAGCAGTTCCGAGAAAAAGATGCTTCCCTCAAAGCCAGACAAAAGAAGAACTTTGATAAGTGGCACCTTGCGAAGAACCTCTCAGACCTCTCCCCTAGAGAACGTGTTTGGCTACCGGACCAGAGGGTCGACGGGACTGTAGTGGATAAGGTTGGTACGCCCCGCTCGTACGCAGTGGAGACACCAAATGGAGAGCTGAGGAGGAAGAGGTGACACCTGAACCTCATACCAGATTCTCCTGAAGCAGGAATCCAGAGAGGCTGTGCAGACCCTGATCAAACCTTACCCAGTATTAAGATCAACAGTCCCTTGCAGACCACGACATCAACTACTCCCAGAAGGACCACAAGTAGTGGTCGCGAGATTAGACTACCAGAGCGTTTTAAAGATTAGGGACTCTGAACTTTACGTTGAGTGCCTTAGTGAAAAGCTTAGAAGGGAGATGTGATGTAATCTCTAGACTTCCCATTAGCCTTAGCGGTTGACGACACATTCTACCGTGTGCTCCTTGTATTTGTCGTTACTTTATTAAACCTTTTGTGTTCGTGCCTTATTTCGTTCCTCGATAGCATTACAACCTATGTTTGGTAGACTCCAAATCAAGCTGTGGTCAAGTTTCACTCCTTGGTTGGGTTTACTTCGCATGTGTTCTCTGACAAACCATTTTAAGTATTGTCGTTGTGTCTTTTTCCATCTGGAAGTGGCAAAATGGGAAAGAGTAAATTGTCTAGACTATGAGCAGTTCCTTCTCTATGCCAGTCTGTGTCACAGCTCAAAAAAAATTAGTCGACAAAAATTAATGTTGGTGCCTTGCGGTGCATCTTCCTCACGTGATGGACTTCTTATCTATTCTGGTTAAAAAGTTTAGATCTTTTTCTGTGATTGTAATTGTTGTGGTGGTGTCAAAAGTAATAGAGCTATTGTATCTTTGCAGTAAATGGAGGTTATGGGAAATGGAGTGCCTTTGGTGAATGCTTAGTGACTTCTGGGGGTGGGGTGCGGGAGAGGAATCGTCTATGTGAGAGTCCTGAACCACAGTTTGGTGGAAAAACATGTGAAGAACAAGATCTGGGGCCAAGTGTGGAAACAGAGGCCTGTAATGAACAACCATGTCCAGGTGAGTGCACTTGACAGAGATGATGTTGCAGATCATGGTTCTTTTATATTTGCTAGGTACATTGTTATTCCTTACTTTATAGTTTGTTTTTCATAGTTTTGCAGTTGCTGTCTTATGTCACATTTTGTACATTTAACCAAACCAAAATTGAACCCAGGATGATTTTAGGACTGGCATGCTGAAATGCTTTTAATCAACCTTTAGACATCAAACCACTACATTAACCTACCATTTTTGAAGCAAAAGAGAGTAACTTCCGTTCACAATCCCCAGGGCCAACACTGTGAGAGTTAATGTGGGTTTGTGTAGCATGAAGGCATAGGGGTATTGGTTCTCCCCATGGGTTGGATGCTACCTCTCTGTAGGTAACCTCTTCACCTAGCTTTTTCCCAGGGTTCCCTGACGGACACACAGCTACTTATTTGTACTTTTTGGTGGAAAGATTCCATGTGAGAGTAAAGTGTGTCGCCCGAGAAGAGATCTGAAGAGGGCTTCAATACAGAATTTTCAGTTCAGAGTTCAATGAACAAACCATTCAGTGCACCATGTCCACCATATATTAGGCGGAAAAGCCCTTACATGTAGTCCCCCAACCAGTGTGTCTGCTTATTAAAAACTGCTAAAAAGATTAAATGTTTCTGTCACGCCCAAATTTGTCTCTTCGAAGGGTTTGATTAATTTCACAACAAT